ACTAATGACATGTTTATGCTGATGATTTTGCTCCGAAATTTCTTTCCTTATGCTTGATTCTGAATAACTAATTCCTTGTTTCTTTCATTTGCCTTAAAATTTATTCTGTAGACATAGCCTTTTAGATTTTCCTTGGAACTTATGATGGGCTCTCTCTTAAATCTTCATCAGTTCAAAATTTTATACTGACCAAGGGGTGTAGTTGTCAATAAAATTTAACATGAAAGTAAATGAAGAGAGAAGAAAATTGAAGTAAATACAAATCAAATAATGGTCCTAAGGACTAGAGTTGCAGTTTAAGCTTTAAAGAATGGTCCAACCAATTATTTCAAGCGAAACGTACAGAGTCATGAACTTAGTCATCAAAATTTGAACAACCTGGAAAAGAAAATTAGTTAAATCTAGTTTGCCCCTTCAGATTTATGTGCCACTGCCTTCCGAGTTTCATGACAAAATATCATGAGTTTGGTAATGGATCTCTAACCGCACCACCAGCACGCACAATAACCAGGGAAAAAACTATCATTAGGAAAAGGTGTGACTAGTACTGTATTAGTCTTTGCTTTATGCATGCCTTTCAATTAAGGTTTCGTCCAAAAAAAGAATAAGGTTTTCTTTGGTCCAACTATGTATAAGCTCAGTTTAACTGATCCTCAGCAATTTGAAGGCTTTCTTGATAATGCACCGTAATCTTGCTTTTCAGGGTTGAATATTAGCCCGAGGGAGCTTGCCTTACTGTGCCAAAAGGTATTATTTCTCTAGGGCTTCCAATGGATGATTTTTATCTTCCAAATGTTTGACGTTCAATAGTAGTTCAGCATTTGATTTGGCAGTCTTTCAATAATAGGTAGAAAATCATGTAGTTGGAGCGCCATGTGGTGTAATGGATCAGATGACTTCTGCATGTGGTGAAGCCAACAAACTTCTTGCAATGGTTTGTCAGGTACTGTCCCAATAATTGGACAAAATTTAACTGCATTGATGTTTAGCGAAAATGACTAAGATTGTTCCCATTTATTGCAGCCCGCCGAGGTGCTAGGTCTAGTGGATATTCCGGGTCATATAAGAGTATGGGGGATTGATTCAGGAATAAGGCACAGGTATCAGTTCTAATATTTTCTGTACCTTATTTTTCCTGTTTAGAAGAAAAATAACCCTGTTTATCTAGCTTCAGGGATCTGAGTTAATGGATGACCAGCTTACGTGCTTTGAACTTTTCTGCAGAAGCTGATTTAATTTGAGCTCATGCAGATCACTTGCGTTAAAGAAAGATGCATGCTCCATTCAACTTTATTGTCAAAATTTCTGAACTCCCCAAAATTGGTTCCGTGTATCTGTTTTGGTTAAAGCTCTTCATGATTATCATGATTGAGATGGGTGATAGTCATTAAGTTTCAGAAAGAAAACCAAATCAGTTGGAGAATAGAAGACCAGTTAGTCCAACTTTGTCGTCAAAACATTAGGAAAATGCTGCATCTGTGAACAATAAGAGGGAAAAGATGATGAAACAACTGGATTTGAACTGATATGAGAATTATAGTAGAAAGGAAAGAAAAATAAAATAAGCAATTCCTCCAGAGGATACCAACTCTCTCAATCTCACAGTACATTATTATCTCTTTTTTATATTTGAGAAAATTGAATCATCAAGCTGCCACAGCTCTAGAAAACTTTTACATCTTTAGGAGTGCCTTCAGAATACTGAATCAGTCCAAATGCAAGTCACATAAGCATAACATAAAATTAGTAGGAAAAGAAAAACAAATCTTCACTATGGCTGCTTTTGATGGTAAAAATTTTGAGGAAAATCTGTTCTGCTTCAAGAATAGCTACAAGAGAACATATAGATACTAAATGTAATGACTAGTTAGTAACTCTATCTTAAGCTTCATTGATTTTTATTCATTTGAGTCACTTTATGTTGTGTTGATGTACAAAACATAAATATACGCTCTTCTCCTTCTCCGTCCGCTGTGCAGTGTTGGAGGTGCAGATTATGGATCAGTGAGGATTGGTGCCTTTATGGGCCGAGAAATTGTAAAGTCTATTGCATCAAAGCTATTGTCACAGTCCTTGTCTACCAACGGCAATCACCCTGATGAATCAGAGGAAGATGGTGTCGAATTACTTGAAGCTGAAGCTTCATTAGATTACTTATGCAACCTTTCACCTCATAGGTAAAAGCATGACATGAAGATTAAGTAGAGCATTTTTTCATTTTCATTCTGATTGTTATTGCTTCTTTCTCTATCAATGCATGTGATCTCTCCTCTTCTCCCTGTTTTCCTCTGCGCTGTTGGGTTTTTTTCACTTTTTTCTGTAAATGTCATCCCTCTGTAACTGTGAACAAAATTTTAGATTGTGGTATCATTCCCAGCACCCTTACAC